AATACCTCAGCGTAGTTCTCTACTTGAAATATTTGAGACATGATCTTATGTGTCGAACAGCAGTGTAATATGGTCTCATTCGCTCCTTTCGAACGAGAACGCGTGACCGGCACTCAAAAGTGTCGAGTCGGCACACAAAACATGGGGCAGCACACGAAACGTTGGTCAGCACCCTAAAGTGCTGTGGCAGCACACAACAAATCGTTGAATTTGATCAATTGTTCGATTTCTGTGTCGCTGCACAAACGGAGCAGGCCTCGACTTTTATAGCCAATCACGTTGGCCCTTCAGCATTTCTCATGAGGCGCACACTTCCTAAATTACAACCAACCAGCACTCGCTTTGAGCAGCTTAAGTCGTCCTAATTTTAGCCAACCAGCACCTGCGCTGACCATTTGTCTCACCGGCTGATTTGTGGTGTGCTCGAAGGCACGCTATTCTCGCTACTCAACTCGAGGAAAAATGCCGAGGCGTATCGCTTGGCGAGACACGGCCCTCAACGTCAACGAAGCCGACGCTGACCTGGTTCTCGACGGCTTAAAGGCCTTTGACATCGCCAAGAGCAACACCATTGCATGCACTGTATGCTGCAGCTCTTACCACAAAATGCGCTACAGGCTGTTAGAGTGCAGCTGCGAAGCGTGTGCTGAGGCCGGGGAAGCTATTACGGCGAAATGCTCATGGCGCGGAAAGGTGGTAACGTGCTGCGAGACCCAAGTAGCGTGCATTTACGAGTTTGGCGAGCATCTAACTAACGCAGAGTCTACTAAAAGGAAGAAGTTGACTTTGACGCAGAAAAAGTTTTGTCGTGAGCTGGCCGATCAGCATCTACGCCCGATGCGCATCCGCATCGCGCTTTCTCGCAAGTTTGGCACGTCGCTAGACGACATGCCATCTCTATCTACGGTGCAAAACTTTGTTAATCACTATGCGAGAGCCTACTTGGAGAATCATAACCGCCTGAAGGAGTTGACAGCGTGGATGCACTCCCACGCTTTCAATGGCTCAGAGCAAATGACACAATCATTTGCATTTGGTTGGAATTACGATAACGAAAGAAGACTAGTGGTTGGAAACGGCTCGGACGAGAAGCCGTTTATTATTGGCCTGACTACTAAAGCTCTGCTGCTACGGATGATGCTCCCTCCAGATAGTTTTGTACTTCACGTCGACGCAACCTACAAGACGAACCACGTGGACTACCCGGTTGTCGTAGTTGGCGTCTCCGACCGCTCGAGGCGATTCCACCTAGTCGCACTCTTCATCGTATCGCAAGAGACGCAGAACGTGTACGAAGCCGCGTTGATGTCCTTGCGCAGACTCTACTTATGGGTCACAGGCAAAGAATTGGTAGTGCAATACGCAATGGCGGATGGAGATAAGGCACAACGCAATGCTTTATATTCGACTTTTGGATTTAATCCAAGATTTCAGTTCCTCATGTGTTTTTTTCACGTGATGGAGAAGGTTCAAACTGCTATAAAGTCAATTCCCTCGCTTTTATCTGCGAGTGTGCTAGAAGACGTGTATGATCTCCACTTTGTTCGGGGTCATGACGCTTTTTTGCGATTGCGGGACACCATTATGAAGAAATGGGAGGATGATCCGAGGCTGTACCTCTTCTCTCAGTACATGAATGCTCAATGGCTGCAAGGGCCATTCAGTACATGGCAGGCGTATGCTACGGCGTGTGGTTTTGCTACTACTAATAATCCCGCGGAAACCTTCAATGCACTGCTAAAGAGAGACTACACATTGCGTCGTCGGCTCAAGATGGGCACTCTACTTCGAGAGTTTAGTTCGTGTTGCCAAGACCAGTCAACGACTGCTCGGGCATTCGCGTTTGGAGTCATTCCTTCTGACTCGCTCACACGGAGAGTCTCCGAACTAGTGCGTGCACGCTTACTCTCTACGGCTGATGCTGCTGCAGGCGAATGTGACGGTGCTGGGCGACCCGATATCATCTACGTCAAGGCGATGCTCGCTCCGCGTGTAATTGTCGCTCCCAACAAGAGAAGCGAGCAAGGAATTGCAGTTTCTGCACAAATGGGCGCCAACTACGCCAGGATGGAGGTGCTCGGACAGCCCGCAGGTGGCTGGCCAGTTAACATCGAGAGGCAGTGGTGCCCCTGCAACTATTGCTTTGTGTTCGGGACGTGTGTACACGTTCTATATGCTCTACGCGTTACGGAATACGTGGATAGCTGTGGAAGAGCTATCCTGGTGAGCAGGAAGAAACGAAAACGCACTGCGCTGACTGCCCCAGACACGGGTGGTCGCCCCCGGTCAGCTGGGCCAGCTCTGAGCTTTGTGTGATCCAGCGCTTTGGCGGACGCCGCACGCAGCGGTATGAGCATGGACATGGTTTCTGGATATCCGTACGGACATAGTGTGTGTGAGAATTTCCCGCGTTTGACTCTACCAAACGCATTTTTACTTGATACAGCTACTACCTTTTCACCATTTTGTAAGTTGCGTTTAATGGAAGCACTAACACTTCCTTACACCTCGACCTTGTATGCGAGGTAAAGTTACATTTTGCAATTTTCCGCATACACAAGTTGTAGTAAGAGTACTTATAATTCGTTAGCACCTGTGTCGCTTCGGGAGAATCGCTTGATGTTGATGCTGGACTTAGGTTTCTACAATCACGGAATGAGTAACGTGAGAGGCCTCTTCCAGCACCCGCTAAAGACACTGTTCATTCAAATCAATATGGGAACACGCTGCAAACTGCATCCTACTTGTCCTGTGTCCGCGAGTTTCCGTGTAAAGCTACTTGCTTCCGGGTTTTCCAGCCTGTCCCTCCCAACACTCGTCACATGCACAGACAAACCACCTCTCGTTTCCGTACTGAACCGTGATCTCCGCACCAGCCTTCACGTCCTTTACCATCTTGACGAATACTTTGACGTTTCTACGATTCTGCATTTCCACGAAAACAGCGTTGGGGTCACAGGCGTGACTGATGAAACGAGTGATGCAGCCACTGTTTGCTGCATCCACGTACACAAACTTCTTCTTGGTAGATTTCGTGTTGTAGAGTAGCGTATATCCGCTGTTGTGTTTTAAAGCTTGGTCAGGCTGGCCGGGAACTAGAGCGGACCACTCACTCAGCTCACCGGTGTACTCACCGACGATATCGCCAACGTCCAAATTGGTAGTGGTATAAACACCCAAACCCACACGACCAGTGTCGAACAGCTTCAGTGTTTTGCGCACGATCGGCGCATTGCTGCATCGTGCGCTAAGGTTGCAGCAATTAGGGGTGCAGTAGACAGAAGCTTCCGCATTGTCACAACTATCCCAGAAGCAGTCTCCAATACAGCGGCACTTATGAATAGAGCCGAGATCTGGAAATCGAACTCCATTCGTAATGCACTTCGTAACATATTGAATGTCTTTTGGCCACGACAACTCCGTCGACAACACACGCTCCTCAGTTGCAGGGTCCTTGTACACTGGACGGCGGTCATGTAAGTCGTGTAGACGTAGCCTAACGCCTGCAATATTCAATATATCCTTCATTTTCATGGCTTTCACAGAGTGAGCGTGGTGAAGTTTTGTACCACTGCGTGTAACTGCGCACTTGGCCTGGTGCCGTCGCTTCCTAGATCGAGGAACATGCCAAGACCTAGCCCGCTTTTTCGCTTGGTGCCGGATCTTGGCTCTGGCAAGCCGATTCGGAATCTGACGCAGGTACTCCTCGGCGTCGAGCACTTCCTGGTCAGTGGGATCGGGAACTGCCGCAGCCGCCGCAATTTCCTCGCTTGCCGTAGGTTCCTTGGCGCTAGCCCTGTCGTTCTCCACAACTCCACAAGGTTGAGCATCAGTGTGGGAGATGCTGGACGTAATCTCGTCCACATTGGTAGGTGCATCACCGGTTGGGTCCGTGGGCAACGGAGTTTCGTAAATTTCCTCGCACGCACAACGGTCCTTGGCATCATCATCGACGTCTTCACCAACGAGGTGTCCGTCACCATCGACGTGTGAGCTGCTGGACGCAGCAACACCAGTTTCATCTGGCATCGCCACCTCGTCTTGATCGTTCTCGTCTCCCGACGTCTCTGGCACAATTTCCTCACACTCAGCACGACCCCCACGCATTGCGGATTCAATTGCAGTTTGAATGATGCCCGGCAAGGCCTTACTGAAGGCGCTGGATCGTGTCGGAGCCGCGCACTGGCCTGGTATCAATGTGTAGGATCGTAACTTGCGCCAAATAGCATAGGCTGGCTTAAACCGGTTTCCAAACCGGTCTATAGATAGTTTCACCATTAGATCTCGTGGGATCACCTCGCCAGTGTCCACAGATATGGGATATTCGGCCTGAACGTCCTCGTCGACTCGCAGAACGACTGACGTGCGATGCCCTCGCGGGTCGCCGGCAACGAACGCCATAGAGTAGTATTCTATGGTGTCCCCCGCGTACAGACTGGCAGGGTGCAGTTCGGAGGCGCTGAGCCCCGGCATGGTGCGTACGGAGAGGAGGCCAAACGCAGCTCAGTGCAGCGGTGCGCCGTGGTGTGGGTGCTGTTCAAAGTTTGAAATGCTAAAGTTGTGTGGACCCACACAAAGCTGCTACATTCGGCTGACATTCGATCAACCGTGTGTAGTAAGGGGTTGGGGTCCACTGGGGCGAATGAAGGGTTGGGGCACCATTCCAGCGGGCAGAAAGTCGCGCTGAGCCTGCCCCTTTGCTGCTAGTGTGCTGGCAAATCGGATTGGATTTTGTGTGTTATTCAGATCCGTACGTGTGATCCTAACGTTTTCTCTTCGAGAAGGAGGGGGTAAAGACTGTTTTCTAATGTTGTCATCAGAAATCATAGTGTCCTGATATATTATTCTTGTGGAGCATAATACTAGCGCTTTCGATAGATTTTTTCAATTCTCTTGTGTCGTTAGATTAGTCTTTGCACTCCAGTTCTTAATATAACCGCACCACGAAGTCAGCACGCTCAGATGCATTCGAACAGTGAAACAAGTCTGAAACTTCCGCGGAGCATTTACACGAAACTTCATTAATCGCATCATAAGTGGTGACATCGTTACCGATGACAATCACGTAGACGTACACGTTTCTACTCTGGTAAGTGACCACTAAATCCGTGCACCACGTACTGTATATTCAACTCGATTTGTTCTTCAGCGATTTCGTTGATCAATGCAGCCTTGTACGTTGACTAAGTAAGGTATTAGTTTGTACGTGTACCCCTCCCCTCTCTTCTCTAACTCAGATAAGTTTTAGCTTTCGCACTCGATGCAGTGCCAATGCACTGCACCAGAGGCTTAAAAACTAACGGAAATTCCCAAATAATACCCTCTACCTACATAGTACCCTTATCGAGTACCTAATAGTAACCTCATGGAAACTAGTAGTTTTTACTACGAGAAATGACTCAATTTTTTATCCAGCCGCGTCAAAATAACTTCTTTTATCAGAAAAAGTCAACAATAAGATTCTAAAACCAGCGGTTAGTTCAACTAAGTTTGTTGTAGCTTATGCGAGCAGAAAGGCATCGTACCAAGTTTCTAAACATGCCATCGAATACTTCTTTACAAGTGCCGATATCAACGATAATTGTATATGCGATACGATTGGCTTCGCTGATGGTTGAGTTGGTAGCAGAAATAGAAGCGTAGCTGTAACCATGATTAGTAAAGGGTAACCTTCTACGAGGGTACTATTAAATAGTGCCCGGGGTACACTTCGATAATTTACGTTACATGTAAATAACATCTATATTTATAAATACAATTTATATTATTATATTCTAGTATGCTAAAATATTTTTAGGATTAAAAATGCAGCTGTTATTGTAATATTATGACCCCTGAAATTTATTTCAGTCAGAGTTAAGTAAGGATCTGACCGGTGGTATGACTTTCCACGAATTAACAACTGGTAATCCGCATTGTTGTTGTAGTTATTGTCGTTTTTCGATACACTAACTCATCCGGATACGATATCGATTTCTTATACTACATCGCTATATCGATTTACGTACTAGACAGTAAAACGACTATTAACGCAAAGCAACACTAATTCGATGGATTAGCGCTCATGCATATCCTTGAATATACCATTTCACGTCGCATTCCTCCTCGACTGGCACGTTGGATTGCAGGTGCATTCCGCGCTTATCCGTTATGCTCCTATACCGGTTGGTAAAAGGTAGGTAATTTTGAGTCTGGCCAGATGGGAACCGCGGTAGCAGAGGGTTCCCTTGGCGGGTGAAGTTGCTACCGCGGTTACCAAAAAAAAAGCCGAACTGATCCAACACTCAGCTTAAAACAAGTCTGGTAGAAGGTTCCGGATCAAGATTTTGCATCTTTCAAAATATGACTTGGATGAAAATATCGGCGAGAAGAGAAAAGAATTCGATAAGTACTGCGCTTTTTCCGGCAACGAAAGATATCACGACTTTCTAGATGTTTCGCATCGCTGGTTAGGCAAACACTATGCATCGAAACAATGTTTTTAGTTTAAGTCGCAGACGATAGACCGAATCATATAGTGCTTTTACTCAGCGCTACCAGCCCAAATCCCCACTAGTTTTATCAGGAAATGGTTTAGGATGATGGCGTGGAAACTCTGATCCGAGCACCGTTCATTTTACTGAATAAGACGCAACTGGTATAGAAGGGATCAAAATGACGGCGAAACTTACTTCGCGACCATAAGCGACAATGACACATTATGGGGTCAAGTTCTCAGATACCGGAACACCTCTTAACGTGCATCGGAAAAACCGCTTATGCCCATAGAGAAAAAAAATGCTAGCGGCACGTGTCCCAACAATGTTTGCCCGCTTCGATTTACTTTCCACTCGATCAGGAGTCTTGATCCACGACGATACTGCCTCTACCTGAAAAATAGTGCAGCGTAGTCACACCAATTCTAAGCTCAAAACGAAGCAGAGTATATTTGAGATAGCACATAAGCCGTTGGGAAGCACCTGACAGAGCTTTTATGTTCGTCTACTTGTATACCTAAGGAATAATGCGTTAGCCTCGCACGATCGAGTATAGTCACCCCGTAGTTTTGCGCCTTTTATAGACCACTGAGTATGTTGATGTCGTTCAATCTCTCCAGACACTTGGCCTCGTGTTTTTTCAACATCATTTTGACCTTGTTAATTCAGTTTGAAAAAAACTTGGGGAGGTTGAACGAGCGTAAGTGTGACGGGAGTCCGTTACACGGTCGCCGTGGGGCACGGCGACCAATTAGATTAGCTTATATTTTGTTGGCTCACGGCGCCCAGGTCGGGCGCCACACAGATTGAATAGAGCAGAGTTATATTTCCCCACAAGCACGCACCGTCCCGTTACAGTAAGAGGCGTTTGAAGTTGGGATAGTTGCTCCAATCCTCTCTTCATACGCAGCATCGACCTCGGTTCGTGGATTGCCGCCCTTGAGGTAGCGGCGACCTCCATCCACAAAAAAGGATTCGACGTTAGTCACGAGAATGTTCAGCGATCACGATGTCGCTGTAACAGGCAAGGACCAATAGCAGTAGGAGCCGGCTGACGTGCATAAATGAATGAGCGCACAAGGCTTCTTGGTGTAGTCTTGGGTACTTGAAAGGAGATTGAGAAATGACTGCACTCCCTGCTCTATTATACCAATGCAAGTGTAGTGTACAGCAGCCAGACAGAATCGATGACGAGATGGTGTAAATTTACTAGTATGTTGCTAGCGTCTAAAACCGTATTATGCTTAGAGAACAGAATACCCGAAAATGATGCTCTTGGGAAATTAATGGAACTGTATATATATATAAAAAAAATATATCTATGTCGATTTGTAAATTTCTTAAGTACCCCGAATCTAGGGTATTTCCGTACGGTTATAGACCAATCGAAAATCAAAAGAGCACATCAAACGGAAAAAAATAATGGCGGTACACTGACGCGGAAAAGTCTCGTACGCTACGGATCTTATACTGTTCTCTGTGCATACAGGACGTTTATGGGATAATGTCCTAATTTGGAAACATGAAACAAGTGAGGGGGAAAAGCATGTCGAATGGTCACACAGGAGGATCAGACCTAATAGCAGCCCCCGATTCAACATTTCGATTTCTAGTCATTGTGGAGTATTGTACCAGATGAACGCTATTCCTACAACGACCCGACCATGAAATTCATGTTAATGTCCAGTGCCACGAGAAGAGTACCAGTGAATCCTTCAGTAGGTACTGCAGACCCAACGGCGTAGTAGTCGACATCACCCTCGAGCTTGATTGCTGTTTCTAACACTGCAACTTCTTTAAGCTATTGGCTTCATGTAAACAACACGTTTTCCCGGTGTTACATGCACAAACAGTTCAGGTTGAGAAGAAAAACGTGTTCGTTGGACTTAATGATCATTTCTCAACGAAGAGCTCAACTACGAAGTCATCGCGTTGAGACCTACGGCAATAAGAGTAGCCACCCCTAAACCGAACGCAATTTCGAGAGCCTTCTTGATGCGGCGCCACTGGGACGGGTCCTTCGCGACACTCTTATGCGACCTCCTCCGTAGGCTTCGCAATATGCTTCTCGTCACCATTTTTGAGTTGGCCTTCCGCCTTTAGCTTGTCGAAGTTACCTTTCCACTTGCCAGAGGTTGTATCCAGAGGTTTCTGCTTCGCACCTGGTTCTAACTTGACGATGGCATCGTTCAAGTTCATTGTAGATGAAGCCGCGACTTTGGCAGCTTCTTTAAGCTTGACATCCCCACTTGTTGTGGCGCTAGTCCCGCCTTTAAGCTTGACCGAATTTTCTTTCATTTTCGTGGTAAAATCATCCACAACGTCATCGAGCAGTGTGATTTTGACTTGCTCTTCGGCGTCGGTGAGATTGAAACAGCCCGCAACAAAACCTACCACGAGTACGAGAAATATGCTTAAGCGCATCGTTATCGGAAGAAGTCGAGCGTGGTGAACTGAACTACACGGTCTGGGTAAGAACCGGAAGTACAGCAGGGCGCATGTGCCAGATTGTAAAAGGTGAACTCCACAAATCGGAGCAAATAGCAGACACATGTTACAATTTTTAAGTGATTTGAACTTGCCCGAGACATACCCGACACGGATATGCTGAATCGCATGAACTGCCTACAAATACTAGTAGAGACTTCAGCTTCTGCCTCTCCACACCGTCATGGTTCCCTAACCAGTCATTCCGGTATTTATCCCGTAATCCTACTGCTTAGCACAAAACCATCCGCGTAAACTGTGGCCACCATCAACAGCATTGACACGATCGACCTGATACAGCCACATAAGCCATCGAGATCCAGTGTTGGATATTTTAGTTATCGGACAACATCAAACCAACGCAGCTACATTATTTTATGGACTGAACACCCCCAACACTGAAAGTAGGTAGCTTAGTTAGCACCACACGCTCTCTGCTTCACGAGGTGGCGTCTTACCGATCAGTACACTTCATGAGACCCAGTAAGCGAAATGGACCTGAGCCCAATAAATAACCGGACTGCCCTTATCAGAACGGCATCACTTTGACATATTACGAAGTAGGTTGCGAAGTGAGTTCTATGAAGGACGAGTATTACTGTTCTACATGTAGTCCTTCCCCATTGGTGAATTACCATAGGAGGGCGTGCCCTGTATTAACATTCCCTACTTGCTTATGCAATGATCTCGCAGTCTCGTCTTCGAGGTGTTGGCTACTGCAGTAGGCACTATAATTCGCACAAAGCTCACAAAAAAAAATCGGAGCGTTATACGACATTTAATGTCGTGTAACGCTGGGGTAAGCTTGGCAGTGTGTCTGCAGTTCACCCACCGAGACCGGAATAAGTACATGTACCAATTCAATATTCATTGCGATTTTTGTATTGATTCTCCAAAATAATGAAAACACTGTCAATAATTAAATAATCTGGTTGGGATTTCTTGTCTGAACAAGTATTGTAAATACATAGGCAAAACTATCGGGGTTTATGCTCTTGCGTCTACCTTAGACTGAACTTGTATAGGTGAGTCCCTTCGTCGACCGCGAAGCTAAATTTCTCAAACCCAAAGGGTTCGTAGCTAGCTTGTGGACTGGGGGACACGTGTAAATACGAACCGCATATTTTTTATTGAAGGTCAATGCATAAGTCCAGGTTGATCAAGGATACTGCTGATGTTTGAATGGTGTTGAATATACTACGTAGTATGTTCGCGGATTCAGTGGGCGTAAAACATATAGACAAATGGAATTCGTTGTGCAACTTGCACGAGAAATATTATGTGCTATTTGGTAGTGGTAACTTGAACTGATTTATATAACAGTCACAGAGAGATACGATATGGTTGATGGAAGCACTGTAACTCCGTTGATGATGCGGATTCCACCACCGAGCTCATCTCCAATACCAAATGCGATCCGGTTGTTGATCCCGTGCGCAATCGTCAGCGTCGTGCAGTCTCGGAGCTCTTCACGGATACTCTGCTGGTTCTGGCGAATTACTAGTGACAGTCTTTCTCGAGGTCGCTCGATGCAGTTCATCAGAACCATTCGGACGCTTCAGTAGCGCGCGGGCAATGACGCGAACTGGCGTTCACTCACAGTGAAATTTGAGCCCTTCTCGTTCACGGAATCGTGCAGCGAGGTAATGGCCTTCTACAGCAACGGACGCTTTACAGACGTTCTGGTCGTCCAAGAAATGGCAGAACGGGTCCAAATTTGAACGCACCGTGCCCAAGAACAGCACGGTATCTTGCGGGGTTATAGCGATGTAGGAACGCAAGTCGTGCAGCCTGATCTTGTTGATGTCCACGCCGTCAATCGTGGCGTCCAGCTCAACGAGACGCATGAGACCTACATTCAAGCAGCTCAGCATCCGTATGCCGACCTTCTCCTTCGCGTTTACACTGAACATGAGTCCGCGAAACACACGCGGTAGACCAGGGTGAAGCACACGTGGCAGACCAGGGCGGAATCGGAGATCAACGCTGCTGAAGCTACGGCTAAATGGGCTCCAGCCGTCGGCCAGTCGAACGGCGGCTTCTCAGCTGCAGTGCTAGTCAGAGATTCCTCCGTCGGCATCTCCGTGCACGTCTGAACATGCTCCACAAACGCCATCTGAGTCTGCTACTGACTGGTAATGTGCATCGTCCTGTTAAGGGCATGAGTTGCCTTAAACGCAAACGTGAGGGACACACCGACCAGTCCGTCGAACGAGGGAGAACGAAAACTGGTTATTTATCGTAGAGAGCATTAACACAGAAGCTTAAGAGATAAATAATAAACGTTAGCCGATATCTAAACCTCGTTAGCGCTTGTCTTGCACGTGCATTGGAGACGTAAAATGGTTCGTGCAGAATGCACGACGATTTCCAGTGCATTTTGCATTTAGCCTATTTGACTTGGATTTGTAAATTTGCAATCTTTCAATGTAGAATTCGACGTTCGTTGTGTACAACGATTTGCACAGAAACTGCTATATTTGAACAGCGAATTCCTGACGAGTTTTCATTCTCTAAAGCTAGGCCTTCGATGGAATTGGGAAGAAGATAACGAGACCATTGTACACTGCCGTTCGACACAACAGATCAAGTATCAATTATTTCAGGTAAACAACTACTCTGTGGTATGCAATCTCGATCCATCGTAACCCGAGACGGGTGTGATCACGGCATAGGCACAGCCAGAAATGTACAGCTAGGACAGGTAGCACGAACAATGTCCCACACGGGTGAGGATTTTCGTGGCCACTCCAGCTTGAGAAAGTCCGTCTCTGCTTGATGGGAAAACTTCTCTTGCAAACGCTCTCTCGATCACTGCAGCGTGCCAACACAGCGAAGGTGCGAGCGGCGAAGGTGCGAGCGGCGAAGGTGCAGACTCGAAATTGACAGCAAGCCCCTAGACCAAGTTACGACAAGGTCGAAGTAGCTCTCCACAGCAGCAATGGCAGACATATATCAACTCTCCGTGGAGCGTCCTCACATCACCCTGTCCCCAGGCAACGAGATCGCGGGGTTTGACTGCCTCCAGACGCCGATCACGACGTTCACGGAGCTCCTAAATGCAGCGCAATCCGTCGAGATCGACACCTCTGCCAAGAAGGGGGATACAAACCCGAACCCAGACTATCCAATGATCCAGCGCCGTCTTCGGAACCGCGTGTCTTGCCGCAAGACGCGACTTAAGCGCAAGCTTCAGCAACACGAGCTGGAAGTTTTAGCTCGTGAGCGTCAAGAGCGCCATCAGTATCTCACGCAGCTCGCACACAAGCTCGGCGTTATTGACGACCAAGACGGCGAGCACAGCGACCGTAAAGTTGAACTCTTTCGTGAGCTCGCAGCGAGAAGCCTGCACTACGCACTGGTCGATCACGAGTATTCCGGGTGGGTCGATGCTGGCAGCGACCAATACGACGTCCTTGCCACTACGGACGCCACACAAGACAGCGAAGAAGCTGTCGATCCACCGACGAGGCGATACAAGCGACTCCGCCGTTCTCATGATAAGGATGTCTCGACTTCACTTTCGAGTGATCTATCAGCTCCTCAAGCCTCGCTCTTTGAGCAATGGCGATTGGTTATCGACGGCCTACAGAACGTCGACCTGAGGCTGTATCGAATGGATGAGCATGATCTCGGAGCTGGTGTCTACGAACGACTCTGCTACTGGAAGTTCGTTGGTGTGAGCTCCGCGAAGGTGCAACATGAAGGTGAGATCGCTGCTGTTGCAGTCACCGGAGTCACCCGCCTGAGGTTCCATCAACGACATGTACTGGAGATCAACATCAACTCGATCAGACGTGAACACAATGTCCCCTTCGACTTTGGTACGAGCCTCAGCAACAACGACACCACCAACTAGGTCCAGTTCATCCCACTGTGACCACGAAGTTTGTACCAAGTTCATATCTTATCGTGACGCTCGAAACATTAAACCACGCCGAACAGTAAAGCAGCGCGTTCTTCACATTCTCGTTCATAATTTGACGTCTTCTAACGCCACACTTTCTAGCTTCGTGGGTTATTTGGACAGCCTTCTTCTAGCAAGTGACGTCTCCAGCCTTTCTTCCCAGGGGAGATATCATCGTGACACAGTGGACATCGGCTAGCACGATTTAACGGTGCACGAGGTGGACAATCATCAAGAGACACGTGTCGCTCGTAGAATTTGGCAGTGATCGCTTCACCGCATCGCGGACATTCGCGATGATTCTGTTGCATCTCGCACTCAGTCAGCAGATGTTCATTCAGTGTCGAGATCTCGATCACTTGACCGCACATCTTGCAGGGCGTCAGCATTTTACAAGAAGCCCAGAAGTGCTGATCGAGATAGTCCGAGTCAAACTTCTCGTCCACGACACCACAGAATGGACAGGTGTACTCGTCCACAGACTCCTCGTCTTCACTGTCAGCGTCCTCGCCTTCACCCTCAAACTTTGCTTGGACCTCATGGGTTCTCTCCTCTCGTCGAGCAACACTGGTGCCATTGCTATCGCCACGACGGCTTGAAACCTTTGCTGTTTCTGCCGCTTCAAACGCCGTTTGATACTCTTCCAACTGCTTTGGTCGGAGTGACTTCAAGTAGCCTTCGACATCGGCGCCTACGACGAGATACAGTGACACAGTGATCTCCTTGGCGGCGTCACGGATCTCTCGACTCTGATGTGCCAGGCAGTTGCAGTCTTCGAGGAAGCCCATGATGCCAGAAACCGAGAAGTCGGTATCAGATTGCAGCTCGAATTCTGCGAGAAGTTTCTTCAGCACAAGCAACCGACCCAGCAAAAGCTTAAGTCCAAGCGGCTTCTTGGAGCGTTTTGTGAGGTGTGAGGTCACAAATGCAACGCCGACGTTTTTTGCGGCAGCTAGTCGTCCAAACACAGCCGCAGCTTCATCTCGAACCTTGGCCTGCGATTCTCCGAGCTTGGTCACCAGCTGAGTCATGCTATTGCCGAGCTACACAACAGTACACATAATTACTCACAGTACACAAGGATGGTAGCGTGCAAGGCAAAAGACTTACGATCCGACACATATCATCGCGGCGAATACGCGAGCCAAAAGAAACCATTCGATCCAGCAATGCAAAAGCCGACAGTGCGACTTGAGCGATGCGGTCACCTGCTCCACTTTGTGCGAGGGTAGAGCACACTTCCAGCAGTCGCATCGGCTCAACGGAGTAATTGTCCATTTCCATCGTGACCTTGCGAATCGTAGCGTCGCGATGATTCCACAGGTTGCTATAGAAGCAACGAGTGAAGAACGGACCAATAACAACGATCAGCTCCTCGCTCTCCTTGGCCAGAGCTGGTGGGATTTCTTCAGGATCCGGCAAGTTTTCAGCGTCCGGAATGCCTCTAAAGTGCGGGTTTGGACCGCCATCTTCTCTTTCTACATGGTCTGCATCAGCGCCACTTGCTGGGCCCTGCTCACTCCCAGGAAACCCACCTTGTTGTGAGTGATGAAGTGATCCACTCCCGTCTCCATGAACACTTCCACTCTTAACAACCTGTAGTTCTTCCGGATACATATCTCTAGGTGAAAAACTGGACGTTGAGCGCTGCACTGCTCCAATCCTGGGCATCACTTGACTTCTTGATGGCGATGGCGCCACCGGTGGAATCGGCAGGATCGGTTGCGACTCGTTACTGCCGACCGAGGCCTCCAACATACCGATCTCGTGCTTGATCTTCTTGGCCAGATCGTAGTCCTCGTTGGCCACAGCTTCTCTCTTTTGTGCCTCAAGTCTAGCAAGTTGTAGACCAACACTCTTTAACTGCTCTTCCATCTGCTTGAGTCTCTTGGCTTGATCATAGTCTTCATTAGCCACTGCTTGGTCCTTAGCCACTTGGATCTCGCGTATCCTGGCCGCTGTCTTGGCGTCGAACCTCATGTCGTAGCTCTGATCTCCAGATCTATTGCTCTTCTGCTTGTGTTTTGGTCTAGCATCCACAACTTCGTCCGTCGAGTGGCTAGGTAGCATTCCGAGCGGTTGCCCGCACAAGTTGATAGCCATGATACCAACCTGGTTGTACAGGTTGTGCTCGTTCACGTGGCATGCGTGAATGCGCAGCTTGACTAGTGCCGCCTCGTGGTCGATATGAACAGTTTTGAGCTCTCTGGCCATGTATCTGCTCTCGGTGTTGGCCTTGAGCGTCAGAAATCCTAGACGGCTGAACCTAGTAGCGTCTCCCTCAAACGAAAGGTTCTTCGACACAAAGAGCTCCATTTTAGTGGCGATGTGGCTCTGGTGAGATAGCAACTGCACTTGAGTTAGTCGACAGAGGCCATCGTCAAGCTGCAGCACTAGCTCTTGCGGGTATGGGCAGTTCCTGGAGGACAAGATCGCATTAGGGTTTGCCATAACGTGGAGAATATGTAACTAGGGTTTCTCATACTTGGCCGTCATGTAGCCTTGACTGTTGTCCGCATGTTCGTCTAGCTCGGACGCCGGGAACGCCGGATCCTCGCTCGTGCACGCCGCCACGGAGTAGCGCAGCTTGCTCATAGCCGCCTTGCTGAATGACCGGTCGCATCGGATGCGGACTCCCTCGCTCCAACGACGTGTCACTATACTCGACCATCACTCTGCTTGTACTTGAACTAAGTAAAGCATACTCCATTTCAGTCTCATCCCACTAAGCTCAGCCAGAGCGTCAGTCGTTAACTTGCTGTGTAGGTGTAGTCGCAGGAGTGAAGGTCAGAGTGCGCATCGATGGCTAAGAAGGTGGTGGAGAGCAGCGACGAGTCGGACGGTGGAAACTCCAGCGCCTCGGGGTCCGTCAGCTCTCGCTCAGGCTCTGGATCAGGATCAGGCAGCGACTCAGGCAGCGGCAGTGGCTCAGACTCTGGCAGTGGCTCGGGATCAGGCAGCGGCTCAGGCTCGGGTTCTGGATCTGGATCTGATTCCGGCTCAGGATCAGGTTCCGGCAGTGGATCTGGCTCAGGCTCAGGCTCGGGATCAGAAGCTTCCGTCTCTGATTCGCCCAAGAAGAAGCTCAAGAAACGACGCTCACCCGCCCCCAAGAAGCCAAAGGCTCCCGCGAAGAGCAAGAGCCGCAATAGTAACAAGGCGATTAAGAAGGAGGCGCAGGCAAAGGCCAAGGCTGAAGCAGAGGCGGAGGCCGATGACGAAGGAGAAGCAGGAGGCAGGAAGCGACGCGGCAAGCTCCAGATCAAGGAAGAGGACGAGGAAGAAGAGGATGACGACGCGGACGTGGCTGGACTTACGGAAGTCGAGAAGGAGAAGCGCTTGCTGGAGAAATACGAAGCTAAAGAGCAGCGTAACAAGGAGCGAGAGCTCAAGAAGAGACTCGCGGCCTCCCAGGGCAAAGCGGAGGACGGATTCTCTGAGGAGGAAGAGCAGGAGGAGCTCCCGACACGACGTGGAGGACGCAGCAAGGAGAGCGATCGCCGTAAGGAGGCTCTACACAACCTGAAGGCCAATAAGTCCAGTGACAAGAGCCGCTCGATCTTGAGCAACAGATTTGGAGACGACGACAGCTCGGAAGAGGAAGGAGGCAGCAGAAGTGGACGCGACTTGGCTGAGAAGCGACGTCGTCGTAGAGAGCTTCAACGTGGAGGCTCTGGACGACGTCGCAGTCAAGACGATGATGACTATAGCGACGAGGACAGTGATGGGCGCAAGCCCAAGAAGCCCAAGGCTGCAGATTTAACCACAACAAAAAATGCAGATGAAGAAGAGCTGGCGGCAGCTATTCGTCCAGAGGAGAACGTGCCTGTGACCTGGGATCAAGCCAATCACTACCTGTTGAAGAGGAGAACCTTCTTTGAGAAGCATTTCTTCGAGCCGTTCTTCGCACAGCTTGTGCGTGGTGTGTATGTGCGCATTCCGATTGAGATGGTTGATGGCGAGATGGTCTACCGCTTCTGTGAAGTCGTGAATGTCTGCAAAATGGCGCGTAGCTACACGTTTTGCGGCGAGACGACGAATACGGGGATTATCTGTGCATTCGGCAAGAGCAAACGCGAGTGGAAGCTGAATGGCGTGTCGGGTCATTCGCTGCGTGAGCGTGAGTTCTTGTTGTGGCGAGCTGTGGTGAACAAGGAGCGTCTCCACTTCCCTACGTATGGTGAAGTGAAGCGCTTGTATTCGAAGAAGCAGAGGATGATCACACAGCACAATTACACAGACACTGAAGTGGACGAGATGGTGAGACGTAAGCAGGCCGTGGGTCTGTCCTCTGTGTCGCTTGGTGTGCAGCGCGTGCGCTTGGAGCGTGATTTGCGTGCTGCACAGGACATGAAGAACTTCGAGAAGGCTGTGGTACTGGAGGAAAAACTGCAGAAATTGCTGGCCAAAAACGAGGAGCGAAAGAAGCACAACTCAGACGACGTGCTTCGTATCAACGAGATCAATCGTCGCAACCGCGAGGCCAACATCCAGCAGGATCTCAATGCTCAGCAGTTGAACGATGCCATGAACCAGAAGATGACGAGTGCAGAACGACTGCAGTTCGTACGTGCTAACCAGATGACCATGTACATGTCGAGAGACAAGCTGGAGAAGAATCTAGCAGAGGGCAAACTGATCAAGCTCAATGACGGCCGAGTCATGACGTCGAACAAGCTGCACGTGGTTGAGGCGCTTCCTGATGATCTACTGGACAAGGTCAAGGGCGTCGGTGAGAAGAAGGCTACAGATAGTCTGGAGATCGATATCGATCGTCTATTGGCCAAGCAGCAGGAGCGCAAACAGAAGGACGCCGAGCGTTTAGCGGCCAAACGCAAGGAGCGTGAGGGCCAGGTAGAGTTTGTGGGCACTGCCCCCACGAATGTACAGGAGATGGCGAACGCCACCATCCGTATCAAGGATGACGATGGATCGTGGATGACCCTGCGCTCACCCGCCGAGATCATGAAGGAGAAGAAGAACAAAACCGTCGTATCGGACAAGGTCAAGGCCTCTCGCAAGGGCATCACTGTCAAGGAATACTTCGACCGTGTCAAGAAGCGACGTGTGGCTCAGTAAGCGCCAAGCTACGCCGCGCTATTCCAGCCATACATGCGAGGATACGCAACGAAAACCGAACAAAAAATGCACACTAGATGAAAGTCGACGTGTTGAACTGCAAAGTTTGCGGGCAGATCTCCGCTTTAATGCCCTTTAATGTGATGGGCGTACGCGTTGCAACACATATAACATACTCTATCGTTTACCACGCCTTGACTTGCTCCCAGAGCTTCCGTCGCTCGGCCAGGTGGTTGATATGGAACTCTTCGAACCTTCCGACCGTGATGTTAAATGGGCATTCCTGTGGTCGCTTGCCGAAGGCTCCAGGGTAGAGCGCCCACGGCCGCGCCTTCATATAATACACAGGCTCCACATCTGGCTTGAAGTGTAGAATGCGATCGCTGTTGAGGTAGAACAAGGGGACGTTGTCGTCCGGTACCCCGTCTTGGTGGATCGGGAAGACTTGAGCCATGTCGCCACACAGCGTCGAGTTCTTGGGACCGCCATCCTCAACCTTGGTTCCAACAGCTCCGATGGCGTGGTCCGAGAAAGAATACTGCGTCTCAGCTAATTCGTTTGCGTAGAAGAACAATTCCTTGTCGCCGTAAGACGGAGGTGACGCGATGTCGTTCTGTGCTACGAACGAGGCCAGGATGGCTGTCGCGCGAGGCTGACGCTTCTTGTTCCACATGACCAGAGACGAGTCAACTTGGTGACCTGATCGAAGGTTGAACGAGTGGCTGCTTAGCAAAAAGTCACTCGGCTCGAAGTTTAGCTTGACGGGCGTCTTGTTTTCCACCGTAGCCTTGGGACGTGCATGTGTGGGCAGCGGTCTGAATGGCGTGACGTCAAAGTTGGCGAAGTATTTCTGCTCCACTGAGATGTCAGGCTTTTTTGACGCGCGTTCGGCCATGAACCACCAGTCGTGACTGATACGGTCGTGCATCAAGAGATTTCCCGTGGTCTTGAATTTCTCCGAGTCGAACAAGACAGTCGGGTTGACAAAGAACGTCGTGTCGGCATCCAGCATCAGGATCTCTTCAAACTGCGAGTAACTAACGGCAAGCGGCTTGATCATAAACGACCGGAACTTGGTGCGACAGCCGTCAATATCGTCACAGAACACTGGTCGGGAAGCATTCGTGACACTCTTGGCACTTGCAGCCAACTCGCAGACATCGTAGGCGCGAATTTCACCAAGCTCCTTCTTCGTACGGATCAGTTCCACAGTCTCAGGCTTGAGGTCAGTGCAATGCGGCACTTCAATGGGTAAAGTGATGCCCATAGCACGCAATTCGAGGATTAGCGAGAAGCCGAGGCGAGCAATAGGCTCGTAAAGCGGCATCACAATGCCTCGCTTAATAGTCATCCGCTGCGTGATCTGGCTTAACGTGTACACCAGTTGCCTCTCCATCATCTCGGTCGTCCGTTCAATTTGATTGTCTTGCTTGCTCTCTCGAGGTGGATCGGGAGCCACATCAGCTGAACTCTTGCCTTGCATCTCGGCGATCACCTTGCGTAGAACTCCATCAATTGCCAAGTTCTGCTCATCCAAGTTGGCCGGCTTCTCTTTTCCAACGCGATGCCAAGCGTCCACCGCTTCGTAGATATGCTGTCGCCCCGCCAAGTGTCTTTCCTCCTCTGCAGACAGCTTCCCGGCTGTGATACCAAACGGACACTCCTGCTTCCGCTCCCCAAACGGACCAGGGTAGAATTCCCACGGCCGTGCCTTCATGTAGTATACAGGCTCCGTTTTGGGTCTGAACCACAGTATCCGGTCACTATTGAAGTAGAACAGAGGCACATCATCATCTGGCACGCCGTCTTGATGAATTGGGAAAACCTGAGCCATGTCACCACACAGTGTTGAGTTCTTGGGACCGCCATCAATGAGCTTGGTACCAACAGCACCAATAGCGTGATCAGAGAAGGAATACTGCGTCTCGGCCAGTTCACTGGCGTAAAAGAAGAACTCCTTGTCACCGTAAGACGGAGGTGCGGGAATGTCGTTCAGCGCAATGAAAGACGCCAGGATCGCAGTAGCACGTGGTTGTCGCTTTTTATTCCACAACACCAGAGAGGAGTCCACTTGATGGCCTGCACGGAGATTGAACGAATGGCTACTCAGCAGAAAGTCGCTTGGCTCAAAGTTTAACTTGACGGGCGTTTTGTTTTCCACTGTAGCCTTGGGGCGTTCAAGGGTAGACAGCGATCGGAATGGCTTGACATCGAACGTTGCGAAGTAGTTCTGCTCCACCGATACATCAGGCTTCCCGGGTACTCGTTCAGCCATAAACCAAATCTCATGACTGATGCGGTCGTGCATCAAGAAGTTGCCTGTTTTGTTGTATTTTTCAGAGTACCAGAGCTTCGCAGGACTCACGAAGAACGTCGTATCGGCATCGATCATCATGATCTCCTCGAATCTTGAGAACGTCACAGCGAGCGGCTTGATGATGAAGCCGCGGAATTTGGCGTGGCAGTCCTCAATCTTCTCGCAGAAAACCTTCCGGGACGAGTCCATGACGCTCGTAGCTCGTTCAGCCTTGGCACAGACGTTGTAGAACCAGATCGTGCCCAGTTGTTGCTTCGTCTGATACATTTTCTGAGCGTCCTCATCCAGGTCACCACAATGCGGCATCTCGATGGGTTCGTTAATGCCAATAGTGCGGAGCTCCAATACCAGCGAGATAGCCAATTTGATGATGCCATCGTACACTGGAATCACAATACCGCGCTTCACCGTCGTCTGCTGCGCTATCTGGTTGAGCGTATGGACAAGCTGCTTCTCCTGTTCTCGAAGCTGATCTGCCTTCGCTTGCAACTCCACAGCCTTCTTTTCTTGAGCCTCTTTGTCTGGATCCTTAGGCGGATCGGTGGCGTCTTCGAGCGGAGGGCCGTTCTTTATCTGATCCATGAGAACCTCGAGTTTCTCGTTGGTTAACGTTTCTGCTGCCTCCCGCTCAGCACCAGCAGGTTCCTTGAAATCGTCCTCCCAGTCCTTGGCGATGTCGAAAAAGTGCTGACGCTGGTAGATCTGTTGGACCTCGGCGTCCGAGAACTTGACGCCGGTGATGTCGAATGGGCACATCATCAGCAACTTCCGCTCTTCAAACGTACCGGGGAAGAAATCGCGTGGGCGGGCAGCAGAGTAATACATGGGCGACTTCTTCGGTTTGTATCTCATAATATAGTCTGTGTTCATGTATAGCAGACTCACTTCTTGGATCGGAGTGCTCTCCGACTTCTCAGGGAAGTGATGCGCTGCACTGCCACAAATAATCGACTTGTTCTCGCCCTTGTTCCGGAAATCTGGGCCTGCAGAACCAGTGGCGAAATCCGAAAATGCATACTGCGACTCTGCGAGTTCACACGCCACAAAAAAGAACTCCTTGTCACCATAAGACGGAGGACGTGGCACATCATTGAGCGAGATAATTGAAGCCAAGATAGCGGTGGCGCGTGGCTGTCGCTTCTTGTTCCACAACAATATCGAGGAATCAACTCTGTGGGCGCTACGGCCATTCCACGGATGGCTCTTAAGAAGCCCCTCGCTCGGCTGAAAGTGCAGCGTCACAGTCGATTTGTCAGCGGCGATAAGCTCCGCTGATGCATTAGGCCGTGGCAGGGTCGGAATGTTCCGAAAGAGATCTACATCAGCCTTGGATAAATAGTCTTCGATTGCCATGATGTTCGGGCGGTTTGCTGGTTTGTAGCCGAGACCCATGGAAAAGTTCGCCTCAGCAATCCGGTCGTTAAAGAACAGCGTGCCCGTCGTTTGATACTTGTTCGTGTCCCACAGCGGCATCGGGGATTGGAACAGTAATGCGTCTGCATCCATCAGCATGATCTCTTCGAAGCGCGAATAGACCACGCCAAGCACTTTAATGGCGAAGTTTCGGAAGCGACGGTGGCAGTTGTCCAGATCCTTGCAGAACAACTGCTTACTAGGATCCAACAGACTCTTAGCAGTCACAGCAAGCTTGCATGCGTTGTACACGTAGACTTCACCCAGCTGCTCCGTCTTCTTCATGATCGCTTCTCCGTACGCCTCATCGAAATCACCGCAGTGTGGGATCTCAATAGGCAGATCCACGCCTAGTGACCGCAGCTGCAAAACCAGAGAAACACCGAGCGTCGTGATCTTGTCATACAGCGGGAGTACGATGCCCCGCGGCATACTAGTTTTCTGGCTCAGCGTGTTCAATGAGTGGATCAATCTCGTCTCCATTTGCTTCTCAAGATCGGCTCGTTCTCTCGCAGTCTTCATAAACTCAGCCCATTTGTTCGCCTGCTGAACTGCTTGGGGCTCTGGCGTTGTCGACGCGGGAGTAACAGCGACAGGTTCAGTTCGGGGTGCAGCATTGATCTCCTCGAATGGCGTGCCATCGGATAATTGCTTCAAGAGTACATCAAGCTTCGTGTTGACGGCAGCGTCAGCTTGAGTCTGTTCACTCTCGTTCTCACTCATCAACGCATTGCGTTCCCATTCAACTGCAATGTCGTGGAGCCGTTGACGCATCAGAATACGCTGAGCATTCAGATCTGAGAACGGTACACCGGTCACATCAAATGGACAGTCCTGCGGCAACTCCCAGTCGCTAAATGAGCCAGGATAAACGTCCGCAGCTCGAGCCTTGGAGTAAAACATGGGCTGGGTCTTGGGTTTGTATTCCATGATCGCATCCGAGTTCAGATAGAGCAGACCCACATTGCTCTCGTCCGGAGATTTTACTGGGTAGAACTGCGCTGACTGGCCGCAAATAATCGACTTGCCCTCTCCATGGTCCTTAAAGTCGCTTCCAGCAGCACCGACACCAAAATCCGAGAAACTGTACTGCGTCTCAGCAAGCTCACAAGCCACGAAGAAGAGCTCTTTGTCCCCATACGAAGGGGGGCGACCAACGTCGTTGAGCGAGATGAACGAGGCCAGCACAGCCGTCGCACGAGGCTGTCGCTTCTTGCTCCAGAGCAACAGCGACGAGTCCATCTGGTGGCCGCTCCGTCCATTCCACGCGTGGCTGTTAAGCAGGATATCGCTCGGTTCAAAGGGTAACGCCACGTCATTCGCTGTTGTCGCCTTCTCACGTTGAATCGTCGGTAGCTGCCGGAAGACGCTCACATCGGCATTAGACAGATAGTGACGGAGATCATTGGAGTGCAGTCGTGACGCTGGACGGTAACCCAACGACGTGTTAGTCTGGCTGATCCTGTCGTTGAAGAACAAGGTGCCAGTCTTGTGGTATTTTTCGGTCTCCCATAGCGACATGGGGCTCTGCATCATTAGCGCATCAGCGTCCACGAGCATCAACTCTTCGAATCGCGAGTAAACCAGCCCGAGTACCTTGATATCAAACGTACGGAATTTCTTGTGGCACTCGTCCAGATCTTTGCAGAAGACTGGCTTGCTGGCGTCCAGGAGACTCTTCTCATTGGCTGCTAATTCGCACGCATTATACACGTAGATCTGTCCCAATTGCTTGCTCTTCTTCTCAATCGTCGCAGTAAGTTTCGGGTTCAAGTCTCCGCAGTGCGGGATCTCCACAGGCAGCGTGACTCCTAGAGACCGGAGCTCCATGATCAAGGACAGTCCTAACGGCACTAGATCGTCGTACAAGGGCAACACAATACCACGTGGTTCTGTCGTCTTTTGCGTCAGATTGTGCAGCGAATGGAGCAGCTGCGACTCGAGCGTCTTAATGCGGTTCTCTTCCTTCATGTTCTCCGCTTCTTGGGCTTTAAGCTGTTCTGTCTCCATCCTCAGCGTATCATCATCCTTCTCGTCCTCTGATACTGTCACAGGAGGTACTAAGGCCGCCGCTTTAGCTGCAGTAATGGCAGAGGTGGCCGTGGTCGTGGCTTGTGGGTCGATTTTGCGCAATAGATCGGTAGCTTCGCTCTCGCTTAGGCGATCCACGTACTGTGTGAGTTTCTGTACGTCTGCTGAGTCGTTGGCCTTGGCTACAGCATCGTAAATGGCCTGAATGGTGGCCGAATTGGCTCTACTATCGCCGCTGCGGACTGGACGCGGCGAGGACGAGGATGTGTCAGCGGACCAGGCTGATGTGGTGAGCTGACGCCACGTGAAGAGCACGTCGGACAGCACGAAGATGACGCCCGCGGCCAGCAGTACGATGATCCAGCGCAGCCGCACGGAGCCGACTGGACGGGCCATGACGAAGTGGAAGGCAGAGCACGAGAGTGTTGGTCACTGCTGAGTGCGGAATGCCGCTTGGGTTCCTCTTCGAAATGCGGAAATGAGCGATAGAAAGCCCGGCGCTGCACGACGAATGCTATCCCATCCAGATGTTGACCCAAATTGCTTGAAGAAATGGGTCTCGTAAGCTGGAGCACATCCCTTAGAGATTTTGCTCTTGACTTCATTAATGAAATCCACAGTAAAATAAATGTCTTTCGATATTTCAACACATTTTTGGGCTCCAAATTGGGTAGGTTAACTGAAAAGTGTACCTTTCGTGGTTTGATTGTCAATTTTGCCAGATGACAGGTGTCGGCAGTTCGTGCGATAACCCAGTTGAACACGGGGCAAAAGCTCACGGTACGTGCCATCATCCAGACTAATCACTTTCGAGGCATAAAGCTTCTCATTTCTACTTGACGTCGTTTGTCAGCTTTAGCTCCAACACCATTGGCAATGGAGATCGCTTTGATCCAGTAGCTCCTGAACTATCCTAGCCAGCAGTTTCGTCGAATCGGGCCAGTCCACCAGCGGCTCACATGGCCGTGTCCACTTATCTGGCGCTGCCAGTGGCAGCGCCAGACCTGCTGGTCATGCGATACTGCGATTCGGAAACTGCTTTGCTTGAGAGCATGAGAAACCCAGCCAACCATTTATATGAACATGTACATGTATTCATTACTCCTCTGTCGGGATTGCTTACTTTCTAGTGTTGATCGCGGTGTCTACTCCATCCAAGCTACTGCGATCTCATGGAAACGCTGGCGCAGCAGCATGCGGTCTTCCTGATCAGATGAGAAGCGCACGCCCGTAACGTCGAATGGGCACTCCTGAGGCAGATCGCGCTCAACGAAAGAGCCGGCGTACACCTCGTATAACCGTGCCTGGCTGTAATACACCGGTTTCTTCTTCGGGTTGTACTCCAGAATGGCGTCGCTGTTCAGGTACAACACGCTAGTGTTCGCCACAGCACTAGCGTCTTCCGGTTTAACCGGATAGTAGTGCGAGGCGTGGCCGCAAACTACAGACTTGCCCGGCCCGTTGTCCCGGAAATCCCAGCCCACGCCACCCACACCGAAATCAGAGAAGGCGTACTGCGTCTCGGCAAGTTCAACCGCTATGAAGAACAGCTCCTTGTCGCCATACGAAGGTGGTCGACCAATGCCATTAAGCGCCACAAACGCCGCGAGTATCGCCGTTGCACGCGGTTGTCGTTTCTTGTTCCACAGCACCAGCGACGAGTCCATTTCGTGTCCTGCACGGTGGTTCCACGAGTGGCTCGTCAGTAGATGCTCACTTGGCGAATAGTTGTTGAGTTCCACTGGGATCTTGCTCAGACTCATCGCTTTCGGACGCTCAATATTGCCAAGCGGTGCAAACGGAGACACATCGAACCGCGAGATATACTGATTTAGTTCGCTTACATCCTTGTTGCCGCGAATCCGGTTGCCGAGGAACATGTTGTCCTGGCTTAACCGGTCATGGAAAAACAGTGTGCCGGTGTTGCGGTACTTCTCGGTTTCCCAGAGAGACATGGGGCTCTCAAAGAAGAGCGTGTCGGCATCAAGTAGCATAATCTCCTCGAATTGCGAGTACGTCATCGCCAGTAGCTTGACGTCGAAGGATCTGTAGGAACGATGACAATTACGCAAACTTTGGCAGAAAACTTTACGCGATGCATCTAGCGTACTGACGGTCTGCGAGGCTAGCTCACACACGTCGTAGAAGCGGATGATACCCATGTCTTCTTTTTCTAGTACCATACGCTGCAGCGAGTCCTTTAAATCTCCGCAGTGTGGCACTTCAATGGGCAGGTCCACGCTCATGGCCCTCAGCTCCATGATGAGCGACAGCCCGAGCGCTGCAATACCGTCAAACATTGGCAGCACAATACCGCGCTTCTCGGTCGTGCGCTGCGCCGTCTGGTGGAGCGTGTACACGAGTTGTTTCTCCATGAGCTGCACGTCGTCGGCTGAGAACTGGTCGCGCTCTTCCTGCAGCTGCGGGTTATCGCCTGTGTTCTGAGCGTCGAGGGCATTATTTCCATTCTTGCCTCTAGTATTAGCGCCCCCAGGGGTTTCTCGCAGACTCGCGAGGTGCTCCTCGGCGCGGGCACGGGCGACTGACGTGGCACGCCATGTGAAGATGAAGTTGGCAGTGACAACGAGCAGTCCCAGCCCGCCCAGCGCCAGCAGCAACAGCACGGGGCGCGGGATCCGGCGCGGCATAGCGTGTGGACTACTGAAGGGCGAGCGTCGAGCGCTGCGAGCGAGAGTCGGAAGCAGGTCGCGCTCGTCCGTGTGGGAGCGGCGCTGCATCGGCAGGTGTCTGACAGCAGCTGGAGCGGCACGCTAAAGAGAATGGTGGCGTGATGTGTTGTATTCGTGAAGTAAGGGTTCGGTACTAGTGTCACTAAACGTTCCAATATCCCGTTTCCTTAAAAAATTTTAAAGGAAAAACTTTAATTATTTTCACTACAATCATTTTCTTAAGAAAATATTTGGTGAACAATAAATTTCAAACTTTTTGTTCACTACCCGACGATCATGCACCAATAACTACTGTTGAGTACTGCAGTACGCGTAGTTATAACTCATAAGTGTTGACTCTTATTTCTGATTCCTTAGCCAGTCCAAATGTTGTAAAATGTATAATAAAACGATTTCCTAACCAAGCGAGCCCGCTGAGGAGCTCGAGCTGGGCCCACTTAAAAAGCATAGTGCAGGTTTGTTTCGGCGACGCAAACACACGCTCGTCTTAAACGACCATAGTGACAACATTTTATGATACTGGGGACTGGTTTAACCCTTTCGCGAACGGGTACTTTTGACCTGTGTATATTATAGTATAGAAGGTCAAGTAATTAGGCCACCAAAGGGGGCATTTTGCCCCCTTTCATAAACTACGGTACTACAGTAAATCTTCTGCAAATCCTTGTAGTTCAAGTAGAAAGAGCGAATCCGCATCGTCCAACACACAAAAATAATGAAAGGGGGCATTTTGCCCCCATTCGTGGGTGACACGAGCGGTACTCAAGGAGACCACGAAAGGGTTAAGACAGAAAATGAGGAACGCACAAAGGAACTAATTGTAGAGCGAAAAAAATTAAGTAACGTGCATTACTAACTCTTTTGCGAGGCCTGATGGGGCCATCTGCTTCAGTCTGGATTTCAGCCCGTGTGTTACGGTCACAGATAGGGTTCCTTTTACGGCTTCACATTCAACCGCACTATACGTTCCAGCTTCTCATTGATAGTCTGCGTGGAAAAAACTTTATCGGCTAGTTTCTGTTACTGCTGGCACAAAACACAATGTAATTTCCTTCACAGCGAATAATTCGTTTTTTGTCAGTTTGATTAGTGAAAACTCGCGGGTAACTAAGTAGATATAATGTGTCCTCGCCAACATTAATGGATTTAGGCTGGCCAATGTATCAAGCCAACCACTACCTCTGTCTGGCGTAATATTGCACCCCTGGGATTTTACGCCAGGGGCAACTGATACGCAAAGCTTATGTCACGATAAAATAAAACACGTCCTTCGAACTTCGTGATACTGAAGCGCGTAAGGTCATCTCATCACCGTAACAACAAGCATTAGGTTGATGCGGCTGGGGCACAACCGTATATCGTCATCTGTATTAAATGTGAATGTAAAAAAAAACAGTGCAGATAGGACAATTTGAAACTAAATGCTAAAGCAAAGCGTGTTCACTAGAGTTACCTAGCTGACGCAGCTAAAAGCTGCCTTCGATTATGGATCCATTGAGATGAGGCCTGTTCCAATAAGTGCCGTCAGTCCTACGCCGTACCTAGTCTCGAGAGCCTTCTTGCCGCGGCTCCATTTAGAGGGGTCCTTCGCGACCTCCTGTGCAATATTCTCGGTAAGCTTTGCAGCCTGCTTCTCTTCAACGTATCAACGTTTTTGAGTTGGCCTTCCGCTTCCAGCTTGTTGAAATCTCCTTTCCACTTGCCCGAGGTTGTCGCCAGGGTTTTAGCTTCGCTCCGGTTTCGAAGTTGACGCTTGCATTCTCCCAGTTTTTCACAGAAGTTGATTCAAGTTTGGCGGTTTCTCGAAGCTTGACAATGTCACTTTCGGTCGTTTTAGCACCGGTTGCCCTTCTGATCTTGGGTTGAGTTTTCCTACGGCACCTTGCACAACGTAGTCGAGCTGTGTAATTTTGACTTCTTCCTTAGCGTAGGCGACGTTGGAGAAGCTCACCGTAAGCGTTGCCGCCACCACTACGAGGAAAGAGCTTAAGCGCATTGTGACAAATGTACTTCGGATATGAGGGTGTGGGTGCGCGTTGGACAATTGGGGAATGAAAGGCAGTAGAACTGGCGCTCAATGGCTCGGATTGCTGCTCAAAGCACTGAAATGCTGTCATCGGGATATCTCGAATGTAATATGTTTGGAGTAATAGAGGCAAATATCAGCATTACTGTAGTTTTTAGTATGAATGAGTGAATGTGACAATGGTATTACTGTCCAGCACAGGCTCTATTTTGCACGTCAACAAAACGTGTGGCGCCTCGGTATTTCTTTTAGTTATGACTCGATTGTCTACAGCCTCACCGTGATTCCGAATAATCGACGAGTAAATAAAGTCTACATTCAGATAATGCGAAGGTGGAGAAAGTTTGAGTTTCTAGCCCTACTGCATTTGTACGTAAACTTACTAAGAGTTTATTGATATCGCGAAGTGGCCGATCAGAACCAGAGATAGATAATACATCGAAGTGCCCCCGCATGTTGTTCTAGTTGGGTCTGTAACCCACGAAACTTCGGTCAATAATCGTCGCTCTTTGCAATGCCGAATGTTAATTTGATGAAACAAGGCATTGTGTCGGACATGTATCTTACTCTGCACGGGGAACCAGTACGAAGTACTTAGTTAACTCGTAGTATCACTATCTCTCCAGGTCTCTGAATTTTAATATTGAAAACGTCGTAACACGGCATGAAGAATAAGTGATGATCGGATGCTGGCCTTTCGTCCAATGTCCCTTTCCCCAGTATGAAGCAATTTCAGTCAAAAGATCAGAAGCCCTAGTCAAGGGCATGCTCGTAAAGATAAACCCTGACATTTGGCCAACGCAACGAACTCACGAACCCTCGTGGCAGATCCCCCCCCTCCCGCGCGCGAAGTATCGATTCAGCATACCGAGATAGCGAGGGGTGTAACGGGGTTACACGCAAGTGGCTACATGTAGGGTTTCACGTTGGTGCGAGATACACCAATGGTTACATTTGACAGACCACTGGTCTGTGTGCATTTAGACTTCCTATTGGTTGAAAGGCGATCTCATTCAACCAATTAGCTTAGCAGGATTCTGCCAACCACTCGTTGGCAAACACCTTTCATTTAGAATATCACTTTAGGAGGAAATCCAAACACAAAACATAAACATAAATAACAGTTCTCATTTTTATGGTAAATCGGCTTTTGCTTTCTTATTTAAGTAAATCTATACTTACGAGACGTAAGTATAGTTAATCTAAGTTTAAGCAAACTACGCTTCCTCGTACACGTGCGCTAACGTGTAAGCCGAAGTAGTGGGCACACAGCGAGTCCATTACAAGGGGACAAGGAATGAGTCATAGAAGGAGGGTAGTCATTAGAAATCGCCTTATAAGTCGGCATACAAAAGTTAGGTATAAAACCCAATCGACAGATGATTCCATCTAAAAAAAGAACGTATCGTATTAATATTTTGTACGTCTACTAAAACACTTGCAGGGATATGAATAGTACAGTAAAAAGGGTAATTAGTCTGGACCAGACTAATTGGGTATCGGGATTTCGAGACGCACGAACACAATTAGTTTGGATCAAACTATTTGGTAACTGTTACAATTGACAAAATAAAACCAATTTTGGGCTAAACAAGGAACACTTGCGCAATTAGTCTGGACCAGACTAATTGGGAATCGAGTCCAATGACCATATGATCGCTAGCGCCATTCCGCCACCGAGTATTGTCTCCCCCTCTCCTAAGGGTATCCCTTCCCTCCTATATATACGGAACAACTTTACATTACAACTGTAACGAATCTGTTTACGGACACACATGCTTCTTCTGGTTGAGAAAAAAAAAAGATATATCTGATCCGAGGCTACCAATAAGGTACTTTATGTTTGGGATAATCTTTTCTTCTACTAGAGAGGAATCTAAGTATTTATGAGCCCTTTAGTGCCTAGCGTAGTTTGTCTGAGCGGTGTCTAAGATTTAGAGCTGCTTCTTTGCAAAGTGCCGCTGTGGACATTCGGACGTAAATCAACCATTTACTTACTGTAGTGACCTCTTGATAGTAAAATCTTCAATTTTGCATCACGAAGTACACTTTGGAGGTTGGGGCATCCCCACTGGTAGTTGAGAAAATAAAAACTTACATCCTTTCTGAACCAAAAATATTAAATCGTGCAGTAGAGATTTGCTCATACAAATACGCACGGCCAGAAGTACACGGTTATCACCAAACTTGCCCAAAACCCCCTGATACTAATTTTTAGAGGCTAAGAGCGCATAAAGGCAGGGTAAATGACAGCGACGACATCTGATTCTTCCGGCCCCGCTTGTGACCAGCTTCTCGCGAAACGCGCTCAACAGAGTCCGAAACCCGGTCACTGCTCGAGGCGGCACGCGTCAGCAAGAAGAAAGAGCGTGGTCAT